AATGAAAATATTAATAAAACTTTTCGTTAAAAATAAAAAAAAGTAAAATTCGAAGGGATATATATACCTTCGAAATAGGATCCAGTCGCGTCTTGGACCTACAAAAGAAAAAAAAATGAAACCGTTAGTAAAAACGTTTTGTTAGAAAAAATAAAAATTTGAAGGTACTGTATATACCTTCAAAATTCCATATAACAGAGTGATCCCAGATCCTACAAAAAAAAAGCAAACAAGAAACATTAGTTTACGTTTCTAAAAAAAAAATAAAAAAAATCCAAGTTTCGAAGTGAATTGAAATCTTTGAAACTTACCAATCCGTTAAGATTTGTTTTCTTTTTCCGTTCTTCAGAAATCCACCCAAGATCTAAAAGAAGAAAAAGAATTAGAAATAACAAAAAAAATTAAAAAAATTAAAGATTCGTATTGTCCTTACGAATCTTTGGGTTTTCTGTTCTTCGAAAGCCTATCCAAAACCTAAAAATAAAAGAAAAGAACGGTTAGAAACCGTTCATAATAATAAAATAAATAAAAATAAACCAAAGATTCGTACTTACGAATTTTGGTTTTTTCCATTTTTCGGAAGACACCCAAGAAACCCAAGACCTAAAAATAAAATAAAAAGAACGGTTAGAACTATTCATAGTATTAAAAAAAAAATCTAAGGGTTGTAATATAATACTTATGAACCTTAGTTCTCCATTTTCCGTTCTTTGGAAGACCACCCGACGGAACCTATAAAAAATAAAATAAAAAGAACGGTTAGAACCGTTCATAGTATTAAAAAAAATAAATCTAAGGTTCATAATATAATACTTACGAACCTTAGTTCTCTGTTTTCCGTTCTTCAGAAGACCACCCGACAGAACCTATAAAAAATAAAATAAAAAGAACGGTTAGAACCGTTTATAGTATTAAAAAAATAAATCTAAGGTTTGTAATATAATACTTACGAACCTTAGTTCTCCATTTTCCGTTCTTCAGAAGACCACCCGACGGAATCTATAAAAAATAAAATAAAAAAAACGGGTAGAACCGTCCATAGTATTAAAAAAAATAAATCTAAGGTTCGTAATATAATATTTACGAACCTTAGTTCTCCATTTTCCATTCTTCGGAAGCCCTCCTGAGACACTGAACCTATAAAAAAAAGAAAGGAACGGTTAGTAAACCGTTCCATAATAATAAAAAAAATAAATAAAAACTAAGATTCTTACGAATCTTGGTTCCTCTTTGCGAAATCCCTTTCCACTATCTCCCTTTCCCAGTTTTTTACATTAAAGTCCGGTTTCATGAACAAGCCGGCGTCCTACAAAAAAAAACAATGAAAAAGAAACGTTAGATCGTTTCTTAAATTAAAAATAACAAAAAATCTTCCCCTTTCCAGTTTTTTACTACCTTAAAGTCTGGTTTCGTAGTATTCAAGCCAGCGTCCCCTAGTAAACGTCCTACAAAAAATAAAATAATAAAGAGAAACGTTAGTTCGTTTCTTAAATTAAAAATAACAAAAAATCTTCCCCTTTCCAGTTTCTTACTACCTTAAAGTCCAGTTTCATAGTATTCAAGCCGGCATCCCCCTAGTAAACGTCCTACAAAAATAAAATAATGAAAAGAAACGAAAAAAAAAGATAAAATTAAAAATAAAAATAAAAAAAAAAAAATAAATTAAAAAAAAGTAACGAAACTTATAAGTGTGAGAAAAGGGGGAGAACGAAAGGGAAGTGAAGGACGAAAGGAAAGGGAAGGATATAGGAGAAGGACGAAAGGACAAGAGGACGAAGGGAAGTGAAAGAAAGGGAAAAAAAAAGTTTTAAAGTTTTTTATTAGACTTTTTTTTATCAAAAAAAAAGATCAATCGGCAAACTGATCACGTGATAACGATCAATACTAACTGAAATTTACTAGTTAGTAATTATATTTTTATTATAGCAAAGATATGTACATTGAATATTTATTATTAAATGCTGCACATCATGATAAAAATTTCATTGATGATGTTCATTAATGTTAAATATTACTTGTACAAGGACCCCGCTTACTTCTAATAAAGGTCTCCGGGCAAAATTTCAGATTTACTAGTAATTTTACCAACCTTTCTTATCTCATAATTTTACCATATATATATAGTGACCTTTTAAAATTATATTAAATTTTACCTTAGATTTTCAGAGACCTAAATTTTTTTAAATATTAAATAAACAAAATATTTTATAATCATTACAATAAATTTTAAAAATTTTTTATTTTTACTAAGTTTAATTCTTATTCTTTAAAGATAAATAACTTTTATTAGTAAAAAAAGTACTTTGAATTACAAAAATACTATAAAAAAAATCTTAAAGACACACATCTTTAACTTTACTTCAAAACTATTATTCACTTACTTTCTTTAAAAAAATCTAATTAATTTTTTTTTAAAAAAAATAAATTCGTAATTGGTATTATTATGAAAAAATGCTCGTACCCCATAAGTATTAATCCAACTGCTATGAAAATATTTATCTAAATATTTTCGACCTTGCCGAACAACTTTACTTAAGCATGAAAAAGTGATTTCATTTGACCAAAGTGCCCAAATTACGCCCTATAATCACTGATCGGGTAAATAAAAAAAAATTAAAAGTGCGAAAATTGCTCGTATTCCGTAAATATTAAACTGATTCTTATGAAAATTAATATTCAGGTAGTTTCGATCTCGCCGAACAATATTACTTAAGCTTAAAAAGGTGATTTCATTTGACTAAAATGCCCAAATTACGCTCCGAATTTAATAAACAAAAAACGTAAATTTTAAGTTAATATTAAAATAAAAAAATGCTCGTATGCAATAAATATTACTCCAACTGCTATAAAAATTCAAATATAAGTAGTTCGACCTTACTAAACAACTTTCTTAGATAGTAAAATATGATTTGATTTAACCAAAGTACTGAAATTAAATTCTGAAGTTGCTAATTGCTGTACGAATTTTTATATTTTAAAAGCTAATTTTTGTAATAATTTTCAAAAAGATAGTGCTAATGCAAATAAAATTAAAAATATAAAATGGTTTTTACAAGTATAAAGAAGAGAATAAATTTTTTATTTTGAGAAAAAATTATAAAACGTATATTACCAAATATTGTAATAATTGTTGTACAATATTTCAAATTAGTATATATAAGGTAAATATTAAATTTTATATACAATTTTACCTTATTATTTACCGAAACATTTGTAAACTTATATTTGATTTTACCTTATAAAACCGGAAACCTATTTTAACTTTACCTTACATACCCGGAGACCTTTATTTGTCATATATATAATTTTACCTTTATCTATTAAGAGACCTAAAATTTTTTTTTAATATAAATTTTACCTTATATTTTCGGAGACCTCTATTAGAAGTAAGCGGGGTCCTCTTGTACATTAAAAAGAATGAATATTGCAATGTACATGATTTGCATAAATGTATATGTAATATACATTTTTTTCGTAACTTCCTGATGTATACCAATAATTTCGGTCAAATTTTAGACTTTTGGCAATAATTTCGGCATTATAAATTTCGGCAAATTTATTTTTGATTGCCTAAACTTTTGGCTACAAAAAAGTTTCGGCCTTGGCCTAAATTACCTAATTTCGGCAAGTAAAAATTTTTTAATACTCACCCTCAATTTACTATATATTATATAGTATTTTGTATAATAAAAATGTAACAAAATTAATATTTTAATTAAAGGTAAATAAATCAGCCCATATATGTAAATATTCATTGATTTTATTAAAAGTTACTATGTTATCTTTCTTTTTTTTTGGGTTTAACTCACTGGATATTAAATGCTTCTTTTTGACCTCCTTTTTCTTTTTCAAATAATTTACACAAATATTGTTCAATTTTGATTTTTTGTTCATCAGGAGCAAAATCAAGACTTTTAAATCTAAGATCAAGAATTGAAGAAATTAAAGTTTTAGTAGTAAGTATAGGATAATATTTTTAAATTTGCATATAATTTTGATTTAATTTCATCAAGTAAATCAAAAGTAAGAACTGGTTTACTAATATTAAAATTTCCTTTATTTTCAAATGTATCTTTTTATTTTGTAATTTTCTGATAGATTAGTTGTAATAGTATTAATAATTTCAATTAATATTCATACATGTAAGCTGTTTGTTACATATTTACTTCCTCTTAATTCTGTTATTGCAAATAATGATAAAATTTCTTTTAAATCAGTAAGAAGGTCCCATTTATGATTTGAAATCATTATTTTCTTTAATTTTTTACCATCTTTCTTTGAATCTAAATCTGAATCAATTAAAAGTGTATTACATAAGATTTTAATCTACTCTTTTAAATATATCAAATGTGACTATGCAAAATAACTAGAATTCCAGCATGTTGTTACATCATTGATTAAATGAAGATATTTAGCTATATTTTTAACATTCTAAAATTAAAATTTGTTAATAATTAAATTTATAACTTATAAATAAAAGTGATTTGCAATATTGGGATTCACTTTTTTATATTGATTTTATATAAAAAAAGTGAGTTGCGGTATTGTGATTCACTTTTTTATATTGATTTTATATAAAAAAAGTGAGTTGAGATATTGCGATTCACTTTTTTATATTGATATTATATAAAAAAAGTGAGTTGCAGTATTGCAATTCACTTTTTTATATTGATTTTATATAAAAAAAGTGAGTTGCAGTATCGCGATTCACCTTTTTATATGATATTAATATAAAAATGTGAATCACAATATTGCAACTTATTTTTTAATATGATTTTAATAATATAAAAATTGTATTGCAATATTACAGTGCATTTTTTATAATTTATTATTACTCTTTTTGATTTTTATCTAATATATATTAATACTTTATTGGCTAGAACTTTTTAGGACCTGGTTCGCTTCTGGTCCAAAATTTGGACTTAAAGATCTGCAGACCAGATCTTAGGACTAGGTCTTTAGATTCAGAACCTAGGACTTTACCATCCCTACCTTAAAGTCTACATATCAGTAGTTAATGAAACATTTTTTGTCTTTAACTTAATTTTTTTAATTAATGCTAGTAAGGTATAATTATAAGCATTACCAATAACTTTCTTAATACCTTTTTTATCTGGTATAATAAAAGCTGAATCTAATTCACTAATAAGCCGATGAAATGAAGGATTTTGGATAACATATAATGGTTGAAGATTATCAATTATCCAATCTGTTAAAAATTTACGAAGTTCTTTTTACCTATTGTCTTTATGTTTATGAACATGTATAACAGTTTGAATAATTTGCTAATTTTGCATAATAGAACAATCAATTAATTAAATTGATTTTTAAAAATAAAAAAAATTAATAAGAGTACAAGATTAACTTTATTAATTTTACCATTTTTTGATATTTTATGATCAGTTAATAAATAGTTGATGGCATTTTCAGTTGAACCATCATTAATGTAAAGAATTCCACATATTTTTTCATTAGCATTTAAAAACTTACATTTTTTAAGTGATTCTCCTTTATCTCCTGTTTACCTTCAGTATCCACTTTTTCAAAATAATTCCATATTTAACTCCTTTTTTTTGGCTATTTTTTAATCGTTTTGTTGGTAATTCATTATTTTCAGAAGTTGAAGGGTGAGATTGATCTTATTTTATATTAGTATTATCACCTATATTCTGTAATTAAAACATTTAAAAGATAAAAAATTTTTGATTTTGATATAATTGGATTATTCCATTAAAGATAATCAGATAATAGACATAAGGACAGTGACATTTATTACGTAATATCTATTTACTATAAGCTTATATCCACTTATCCCTATGTAATATGAAAAATCTTACATTATACTTATATGTTATATAACCTTCAAATACTTTTCTACCTTCTAAAATATTACATAATAAATATTACTGCCTAATGTATAATACAAAATTTTAAACTAAATCTATTGTGCAATTACCTTTTTTTTATAATAAATAATAATAAAAAAAAAAAATTAAAAATTGTAAAATAATTTTAAAATTTTAATAATTAATAATTAATAACTAATAGTCTAATATTATGTTAAAACATTTTATTTTAATTAAAATAATGATAATATATGAAAAAACAAAGAACATCCTTAGATTCTTATTGCAAAAATATAAACAAAAACCATTTTATTTTTTACTTTTTAAAAAAAAAACAAATTTTCAATCTTTAATTTATTAGACTTTTCATTGCAATTTTTTAAGATTCAAAACATCCAAGTAAATATCTATAATTAAAAATAAAAGAAGTATTAGTAAAGATTTTCAATTCTCAAACTTACCTTTCATTTTAAAGTTAAGAACTAAATCCTACATTAAAACGTATTTATAAGAAAAAAAAATTAAAAGTAACATTAATTAATGTTTTCTAAAATCTCAACTCCCTATTCTAAAGTTTCAAAACATATACCTTTTTCCAAATGATCAAATCCAATAACTAAAATCTGAGTTCTAAGTGTCCAGAAAGATACAAGAAATTAAAAAATGGAAAAAAAGGTTAGTTAAAAATTAATATATTACTTTCTTGATATTTTCTCTCTAATTTTAATTCTATACCTCATGGCTTATTCCAAAGTTCAAGTTTGAAATCACATCTAAAAGCAATAAAGTACAATTTTTTGGACAAAAAAGATTTTGGTTTAATTTTTTATAAAAAAAATACAAAAGTTCATTTTAATTTTTACATTTTTCTAAATAATTAAATTAAGAAAATATTTAGTTTTTTTAATAATAAATAAAAAAGTTCATTTGGTTTTATTTTGTAAAAAAAAGTTGAATAAACTATAAGTAATAAAGCAAATGAATTAAAAAAACTGCTATGTAATGATTTTATAATGAAATAAATAACGGATTACAGTTAATCCATTAATCCATTATGAATTTGAATCAACAGGTATTTGATACATTTTATCAAATTCAACTGGTTAAATTTATTAGTCGATTTTATACAGCCAGACTTCGATATACTGATGCTGCTAGTTTAGGTAAAATATATTGTTACATCGAATTATCATTACATAGTGAATCATAATGCAGGCCAAAGTCTGATTCTTAGTAGTATTATGCAAACTCTGAGTTTATTTAAAGATTAAATTATAGCTTCTCATTAACATATATTTCATGAAACAAAAGTTGTTCATATTTTGTATTGAAATAAAAGCTAAAAAATCTAATTATTTGGATGGAATGATGGAAATCCTCTTGTTAATTCAAGCCAAGTTTATAGTGCTGACCTGAATTAAATCAGTGTAACCTAAATATCGATATATCTTACTATAGACTACTATAAAGGAACAAGGGATGAGTATCGGTATATATTATATCGTAAAATTATATATGATATCAGTACAACAAGGTTTTTTTATTAATTGTAAAATAAAATAACAAAAATTTATCAGTACAGGCAATTATTGGTACATAGAATATCAGTACATCAAGGTTCAACTATATCCAGATTATAATCGTTAACTTAAATGTCAAACTGGATATCTGATAATAATGATATCTGTTTTTATCTGATATTAATAGTTTACGAATCTGAATATTACTTTTAATTCACCTTTATTTTTATTTAATTCTTTCTCTCTTACTAGTTCTTCTTCTATCAGTTCTTCTATTAGTTCATTTACTTCTGTTTCAAAACTATAATGAACATATATATTTAAAATTAAAATTATTGTTATTAAATTTAGTGTATTTTTAGTTTAGCATTTTAGTGTAAATTTATTAAATTTAACAAATTTAAATTGAAAAAAAAAAGATGAAATTTATCAGAAAATCAAGACTATATTACATAACATTTAATTTTTTTCTAAATAAGAAAATTATTGTATAATTGATTATTAGTAATAATATTAGATATAATAATACTACTTGATTTGGATTTTCCAGTAAACTTCTAGAACTTGGATTTTATTAAAAAAAAAATTTTATTTTTTTTTCTTGTATTTTATATTAGATTTCAAATATAAAATAAATAAGACCAATAAATTCATTTTTCCATATATTTATCATTTAAAATACATATATAAAATAGTTAAATTACTAGATATTTATATAATCATTATTTATCATTACATTTTACAGACAATTTTTTTGTAAAAGCAAAAAAAGAAAGAAAATATTAATTGTTTAATAAAATAATTATTTTGATAAATCATTTTATAATATATGTGTAATTGTATATAATTTAAAAAAAAAACAAGTTTTTATCAATAATAAATTATATCCTGTAATGTTTTTATTAAAGTATTAAAAAAAATGTTGCAAAACATATTTTTTATATAAGTAATTTTAATGCTCATCTCAGATAAAAATCATTTAATTATATGATTTTTAAAATTTATACATATAAAGTAAAGCTGATTTTTTAATAAATTATATTGCTGATAAATTGCAAATTTTCCTCTTTACTCTATTAAAGCATTATAAAATTTGATAGCTAAAATTTTGACACCAAAATGGTGAAATTATATTCTTAATAAGAAAAATTCAAAATTAGTATTATTATAAAAAATACGGATATTTTTGCAAGCATTATATCTACACTCATAAAAATTAAAATGCAAGTATTTTCCACCTTACTGAACAATTTCACTTAATAAAGAAAGTCAATTTCATTTGAATAAAGTAGTAAAATTACGCTTTGAATTTAATAATAAAAAAGAAAAAATTTAAAAATTATTGCTATTATGTAAATATCACATGTATTATATTTACACTCATGAAAATTAAGATATAAGTAGTTTTGATATTGCTGAACAACATTTACTTAATAAAAAAGTCAATTTTATTTGACTAAAGTAGTAAAATTATGCTCTGAAGTTAATAAACAGAAAAATGAAAAATTTAAAAATTATTATTATTATAAAAATAAGAATATTTCCATAAATATTATACCTATGCTTATGATATTTACAATATATATAGTTTTGACATTGCTGAACAACTTTCACTTAATAAAGAAAGTTGATTTCATTTTGACTAAAGTGGTGAAATTACACTAAAATTATTAAATAAAAAAATATAAAACTTTGGGAGTTAGACAGTTAATAGTATTATAAAAACACAAATTTCTCTATAAATTTTATTTTTAATTTATGAAATTGAGTTGTATAGGTTTAATAGTATGTTTGAAAAAAGGTACAGTTTAAAAAAATTTTTATTTATATATATAAAATTGTAAAATATAATACAACCAAATTAATATAAAACTAACATTATATTACTGGTGAATTTTACCAGAAGTAAAATTTACCTCCTGGTGAATTAATTTTAAATTAACCACTGGTGAATAGTATAAAATTAATCCTTTTAAAAATAGTTTCAGCTAATTTTAATTATTAATAATTAATATATACTATATATAAAATTTGAGTTTCAGTTAGTTTGGCTATTAATTGAATACATTAGATCTTAAAATGTTTGTAATAATAATAATTGTAAATAAATTTTTAAAATTGAAGCAATTGAAGTATAAATATTTTTTAAATTTAAATTTGGACAAAATAATTAATTTCAAAAGTATAGTACAATTATGAATTTTCTGATAAGAATAATTGTAATTTATTTAGATGGTCAATAAGTTCAACACATGAGATCATGTGCCAGAATTTTTTTTTAATGGACATCGTGTTTTAAATATGAACATTATAATAACTTTTGTCAAATAATAGGATTGCCTTTATTGCCTTTATTACCCTATATAAATACAGCGCCTGTATAAAATTATAAAATGTCTGAATAATTGTTAGTAAATACCTAAATGTTATGTAAGATATTTTTTAAAATAAGTGAAAGAAAAAATAACCCTGAATTCTAAAACCGAATTTAATTGAAATTAGTGTGATTAAAAAATTATATATATATATATATATATATATATATGTTTGCCGTCAAACAGCAACAATTGGTATTGGTTAGTATAAACATAAAGTGAAAAAGGTGATAATAAATTTATTTCGGTGGTGGGGGTGGAGGTTGAGTTGGTGGAGGTGGAGGTGGTGGGGCAGGAGCAGAAGGGGGTGGTGGTGGCTGTTGCTTTGTTGGAAGGAATTAAGGAAAGTGAGTAGTATATTACAAAAATCATTTAATAAAGATCCAAGATAATATTTACCCATCGAGCAGTGGAAGGTGGAGGGGGTGGATATCCTGCAGCAGCAGCAGCTGTTGAATAAGTTGTGCCATAAGTAGCGCCATAACTAGAATTGTTGTAAGATGTGTACGCATAATTTGATGCTGCAACAGGAGGTGGAGGATACATGGAAACATTTGGAGCAGGAGGATACAAAGAAGATCCTGGTGGTGGGGGTGGTGGATAAGTAGTAGATTTTGCAGTATTCCAGGGTGTAGAAGTTGTTGACAATCCCGGAGGAGGTGGGGCGTTACCCAATCCTATAATGGTTTTGAAATTCGTATGAATAATGGATTTAACAATGTGATTTAAATTTAAAATAATAATACCTGGCGGTGGTGGAATATTTGGTTGTTGCCAAGGCGGTAAAGCGTTAGTTCCGGGATGTGCATTAGAAGCAGTTACTGCCGGTTTTGAAGCCCAGGGTGGTGCAGTAGGAGAGCCTAAAGCTGAATGAGATGCCCATGGAGGTTTAGAACCACCAGCAGGGCCATAATGACCCTATATTTTAAATAGAATCAATTAAAATGAATTAAATCATATCAATTGTGTCCACAACAATATTTATGCATACCACTTTAATGCCAGGATCATTACTTCTTGATGATTCAACATTTTCTCCTAATTCAGCCATTAAACTCAAATATTCGCTATCTAATTTTTGATCTCTCTGTTTGGCTTGTTGTAAAGCTTCAGGATTATTTCTTTCCATACAATCCCTAGCAGTGTGACCATGACCTCCACAGATTCGACAAGTTAAATTAATAGTGAAATTCTGAGTTTCTGTACATTCGTACTTGCGATGGCCAGTAGCGCCACAATTAGTACAAATTTGATTTTCATCGTCTCGAAGTGTACCATTTAGAGCTGCTAATTCACGTAATTGTTGTCTTTTAAGTTCATTTTGACCTTCAGGAACTGAAGCAGACTATAAAAACATTTATATTAACCTTAATTAAGAATAATTGATATATAGACTATTATTAACATAAATTTACCGTTTCAATAATCTTGTTGATCATCTTTACTGCTTTAGCAACTTTTTCTTCGGCATCTGCAGTTACTAAACAATGTAAATCTTCTTCTTGATTTGCATTAGCAGCAGCATCTGTCCTACTTTTCCCTTCCTTCACGCTTCCTCTACCACGGATGCTGATTTTGGCACCGGACTCTGACTCCATTTTTTTGAGGGTATTTCCACGCGGGCCAATTAATAAACCAATAAAATTAATTTCGGGAAATTCTTTAGCCGGAATATACACTTTATCTTGTACTTTTGTAGGCTTTTTATAATCAGCGGGAGGTTTGAAGTCGGGATTTCTTCGTACGGCTTCTTCGATTAATTTATGTCTCTCATCTTCCAACTTTTTGCGATATCTATACTCTCTAGTATTAACACGTTTACCCTGAGAATCGTAAATTGGTTCTGGAGATGGCGATCTTTAAATCAACAAAAAATATAAAGTTAAAATAAATGATACATATAAAAAAAAAATTTTTTTAATAGGAAAATTAAATACCTCTCTTTTTCTGGTGGAACATAATCCCCTAATCTTAATTTTCGGCCAATTTCTTCTAACCTCATATGTACTAAAAAAAGATTTATTATTAATTAGCAAAATAAATTATAAACCAGAGAGATTACACTAAAGCAACTTACACAAATAAGTATCCAATTGTTCTTTTGACATATTGTAGGTAATAGCAGTCGGCACACCTATATCAACCTTTGTTTCTTCCCCACCCCACCTACTTCTTCTTTTGCGCTTACGTTCCTCAGTAGCTCCATCTGAAATATTCCAGTTAGTTGACGTAACGGTATGGTACGATTTACAGAGTTCAGATTTTCATAGGAAAAAAAAAATTAAGTGAATAGCAAATAACGAAACACAATTTTGCACATTGTTAGTATATGAAATTTTTGTTAGAACATAAATAATCTGTTAAATTTTTTGATTGCCCTGTCAATCATTACGTTTTAATGGCAATTATTAATACGTAGTAAGTTTATTCATAGAAGAAATCAAAAGCAAAAGCAGTAAGCAAATAATGTTACTCGCTAAGAATTATGGTAAATAATATATAGAATTTAAGTCCTTTTTTTTTTTAATACAAACGGGTATTTGAAAACAAAAGGGAACAATTTCTAGATGACCTGGTCAATCAAATTTATACCTGTTTGTTGATCGTTTTCTTCTTTTGCTCTTTTGAGAGAGTTTCCATTTGACTCTAATTTTTTTTCTGCTAAATCCTCGATTTCTTCATTAGAACCTCCTGCTAACCTCCTTTTTCCCAAAGGAATATTATTTGTACCAGTGATTGTCGAAGGCTTATACATTACGAAAGTACTGAAGGAACCTTCACAAAACACAAATGACGTGAAAAATCAGGGTTATACCGATGGCTTTGTGCAACTTGCTTATATCATTGCGAGTACGTCATTAATCATGTGATGCAACGTTTATTAATAAATAGTGCAAATGGGAAAGTCGAAGTTGCTCAAATCTTTTATCATCAGAAAATTGCTGAAATTTGTTGAGCTAGGAAAAGCTCTGGTGAGAGTAGTTATGTACTTTCGACTTTTACTAAATCGCGTTAAAAGCGTAAAATAGGTTTTTTTTGGGAAGCGCCTAACTCCATTGAAACTATATTTTACCTTAGAGCACTCGCGATTCTCTGTATTTCTTTGTATTCCGTTTAATATTAATAATTTATTTTACTGTTGAAACGTGCTACAAGTAGTAAGAAATTATATTTTACGCAACAGTATGGAACAATCTGACGCACCCGATATTAGAGAACGTCCTGAAGAGTCACCCGAAGAGGCGCTAATGGCGTCCTTCCGTGTAGCTGCCGAATCTGTTGCACAGCTTTACAAAACCTCTTTGAATCAAAAAACGAAATATCATAACACTGGATATGAACAATGTCTGCAAGATTTAATGGGCTTCGTTTCTTCCCATCCTAGTGTTCAACAAAGAAGACAAACAGGTGGGGATGGACGGGACGCGTTCATATCGGTGCAGGATTTGTGCAGTTTCATCAATTCCAAAACAGAGCAGCTAAAATCAGTGACTCGAAGGAATCGTGATGAAGGAATTAATGTTCGTTTACAATCACAACAATCGCAACACCAGCATCAACAACAATTTTTGCACGATCAAATTTCAACTTATGATCAAATATGCCCAACTTCTAACATACCACCAACTTCAGCCAACGTATTTGAAAACAACCATGAGACATTTAACTTTTCCTTTCCAGATCATGTTACGTTTAACTCTCTTCAGCGCGAAATTGATTGTATTGATACGGGCCAAGGAGGAATTGGTATCTTGACTGGAAACGATAATTTAAAAAGACGTTACAATGGATCAAGCGAATTGAATTTCTTAGGACGATCTACAACTTTTGAATGTTCATTTTACGAACCTCCCACTAAGAAAGGAAGGTTACGCAAGGAAGAATGAATTCTATTATGAATATAGTTGGTCTTTTTCTGTTTAAATAACCGTTAGGTTCATGATCAATTTATAAGCCTATATGTTCGCAGACAGGTTTCATCGTAGGTAAAAATGTTTATAATTCTATGCTTTAAATATCAAAATGTTGTTTCTTGCATATACTAAAATACTAAATATTCGTTTATTTCAGATTATTTTTGAACATCTAACTTCTCTTATCATAATGTGTCAATGTGTCATACATATAATATTGAGCAAGGATCAACAATCAATTTGAATTTATATAGATAACAATATTGTTGAATAAATTTCTTTTAAAGACCCAGAAAATAAATTTATAACTTTTTCTTTTGTATTAGTATATTTCCATTACCGATATTTGTGATCAAATTACTATTAAATAGGAAAGAATTGACATAAGATAAAATGATTCTGTGTTGTTTCTATTATATAAGAATAACTTGAATTTAAAATTGTATATTCTGAATTTTTGCTATAAGAATAACAATCGCACAAACCAAAATGAAATGAATCATCAATCACTCAAGTTAAGACTAGCTCGAAACTTTAAAAAAACTTTTTACGATCATTTCAATAGCCGATTGAATTCCTTTGACCTCGACCAAGTTTTGGAAATTAGATGGTATTTGGTTAATTACATGTTTTTCGTCCAATAATGTCCCTAATGAATTGCATCTAATGAATGATCTGATGTAGTGTTAATAAAGATGAACTGCACACTTACATTGGTGTGGCATTCGTGCGTGCATCTCAACATCAAGGAGAACATGACCAGATGAAGTAATATTTAAATTCCAAGATAAAATTAACTCTGGTCCAATTTTGCTAAGATTAAACGATTAATCATTAATGCAAAATTTCACCTTAAATGCGCGTAAGAAAATGTACATAAGCAACTCGAACCTTTTTTCGGAAAATCTCAATGATGAATGTACGTCAACACACAAACATGAATCTTGGGTAAAAGAATTATGTGTATGAAGACTCGGCAAAGTTAAGGTAGGATATTTTCTCTTCAAAACACCAAATAACAGTTTACGTTGATGATTCAATCGCGCATACTCAATAAATCCTTTGAAAAAAATCAATAGATTCCTATCTCGTTCCACGCTATTATAAAACATAAATGATTATTAATAATTAATTCAGTAAATAATTAAATAAATTATCATCTCACTTTTCAATAAATTTCCCCATTTCTCGCTTTACACCAGAATCTAATTTGATTTTAAGTCTTCTAATGACTAGATTAGTTTCATTCACTTCGAATTCAATAAAGAAGTTGATATCATAAGAATTCCCCATGTAATTATAATAACGAATACGATCTGGACAAATAAAAAAAAAAAATTTAGCCCCATATCAAACTTTAAGTATATCGATTATTGCTGTTATCTACCTCCATCAGTTACGGTTAAGTTATTATAAACTTTTAAAAAGTTAATTTTTGTAAAATTTACTAATCGTTCAATCTTAATTGGAATGAAAAAAAGTTCTGTCATAAGTTAATCAAATGTGCATTATATTTAAAGTTGAACAGTTAGGACTTACATTCTTTGCTCGAAGACTATTATCATTGTTATCGGTGGTGTTGTTTTCATATAGTTGTTCAACTTGCAAGGATGTACCAACGGACATTAAGAGAGATTGGTCATTTATACTAAGTAACTTGTCACTTTAAAAAAAAACAATTTGAATGTAAGATTTAATAATGATTTACATCCACATTTTTAACTAAAGCACCATCAGGATACATTAATGCATCTTGATTAGGTATTAAAGAAGGTTCATTTTCTTGACAAATCTGATTGGTATTTTTTATGTTTCTTTGTAATTCTTCGATCTCGATTTTAGTTTTACGTATTTGAAGCAACAAGTTATGTTTTTCTTTTTGTGAATTAATTATTTCATCTTCCATAATCATCATGAGCTGTTGTTCTTCAGCCAATTTATCAAGAGAATTTTTCGAAGGCATAGTAGACTTTGGGAATTCGAAAACAAATATTATCTTAATTGAGAATGGACAGATTTTAAAGAAATAAAACAAAAACTCACCAACTCTTTTGTTATCATAGATAATTTTGCAGCCATAGAATCTGCTTTTTCCTTCAAAGGGTGCTTACTCATTTGAAAATTCTACAAAATTTATTGTATTCAATAGATTGGGAAAGTGAAAAACTCGCTACTGCTTAAAACAAATAACGCGTAAAATGACGCGTTGAGTATGAAGTATAAAATATTTTAATTACATAATCAATTTTGTGCTAAATGTGACTAAATGCTAAATCAGTCAGAATTGTATAAAGCGCGAGTAAAATTAATTTGGAACAGCACAAATTTAAGAAAACGTGCAATTGCACCGTGTACAACTAAAGACAGTTAGATGACACATATTTATAGTAATGTTCACAATATGTTTATTATATTTAATAGCAAGAAACAATAGGCAATTTTGTCAAAATTTGTATCACACTTTTGGATATCAATAGTATCAACTATCAATAGTATAAATATAGCATAAATATGTATAAATATTACATAGTTGTTAGTTGTTTCAATGATAAAAAGTTTAACAGGAAATTGAAACTTGAAAAAAAAAAGATTCTCGTTATTGTTCCCACAGTTTCAAGAATCATTTCGCTTAACAAAATAAATATAACAAAATAAAAAATTTTTAAATATTCAACGCGTTCATTCTTTTTTATAAAAAATGGAAGAAAGTAATTTCGCCCATGAACTCCATAATTCGGCACGCAAGTGCTACCGTTTTTTTTGTCTTAATGGTGAGTAAAATTTGTAAATAATAACATGTAAGATATTGATTATAAAGCATTTATTTTTGTTTTTTTAGTTGCTCGTTGCCTTTCTTATGTAGGGGGAAGACTTGAACCTTATACCACTCAAAACCAGCTCATGACCTTGGTAACTCCAACCAATCGATTAGCAATTCTCCACCTTCCAAATAATCAAAAACATCATTGCCCTATTTTTCAATTCACAAATGTTGATGAAACATACGTCGCATACGCTGGTCACATTCAAAAAGAGCTTGTTAATGTTAAGCGATTTTATTCTTATTTCAGAAATACTTCTCGAAGAGATTCCATCTCCATCTCCAAAGACAATAATTTTCAGGATCTAGTCGCAGCAACGGTGGAAGCCCACAAAATAGAATTAAATTATATAGATCCATTAAAAGAATATTTGAACGTAGTGTTCGATAAAGATCGAGAAGAATTCATGGAAATTTTTGTCGAAATAGGTACACAAAATAATTAAACAGCCTTCTGTTATATATTAAACTAGCAAAATCTGATCTAGTATAAATTTTTAGATGATTCCCCTACGAATTCAGAACCGACATTCGAAGACGTTATGACATTATGGATTGCAGTTTTCATTTGGGCTATTCAGCTTATAGTAGGTCGTCTTTTATACAAGAAAGTTGCATTCAGAATTACTGGTAAAATCTATGGTTTAATACAATAGCAAGCCCACCATAGTAATAAAATAGATCGCAGATCACTCTATTACCATTATTTACACATGGTTGTACAAGTAACTTTTTTTGTAGTATTTGATTATTACCCAGAAACTAAAAATTTAGTAATTTCCTAACTCGGAATTTGACATTTGACACTACTTTTTGTACTTTGATGTAAAAGTTTTTAATTGATTATCAAAAGTTTCCTAGTTCGGAAAGTTTGGGTTATCAAACTATTCATAAATCCGATCTTTTTACGTAATTTTTTATTTGCGTATAATAAAACCAATTTGGTCAGTTAAATGTTTATTTGTTTAATTTAAATAAATGTTATATCGTAAAACACCAAAAAAAAATTAGTATGAATGATATAAAAGGGAAGGAAAAGGCCTTAAAATATATAAAACAAGAAGGGAATACGCGACCGGTTTCATTTTACGAACTTAATAGTCAAATGCATGGAAATAGTAATATTCATAGTATTCTTCAAGAGCTGGTCACCGAAGATTTCATGTGCGTATAATTTGAATACTTTATAAAAAATAAAGGTTTAAAGACTACAGTTTCTGTTTTTTTTTCTTTCCTTTTTTTGTTAAATAGACTAGAACAAAAGATTGAAATAAATGGGCTTTCATTGGATATACCATTAGATACCGTAACTTTATATTTTAACAAGATCAAGAGTAATAAGGATAAAGTATCGGCACCGACTTTAAGAGTAAATATAATTTATTATAATTTTATTTTATTTGAGTGATTTAATTAACCAAATTTCGTGTTAACAAACAGAGCAGTGTTCTAGAAGAATCATGTTTACAAACAAGTTCTAAATCAGTTAAATCAGTTGAACCTAACTCCCAGATTCAATCGCTTAAAAATCAACTTCTTGAATTGAATAATTATGAAATAGATTTGAAAAAAAAATTGCAGTAGGTGTATAAACTTGATTTTTAAAAATTATATAAATATTTAATATATTAATTATTTCTCTAATAGAAATAATTTGGACGTACAAAAGACGTTGAATGATCATTACCGACAACTACACGAATATAATGAAATAAAAGATATAGGACAAATGTTGCTTGGTAAATGTGCTGAAATTGAAGGAACAACAACAAAGGAAATGTATAATAAGTTTGAAGTTGAACTAAATGATTAAAAAAAAATAAACAATAGCTTTCTATGATTCTTCATCAAAATCTAAAATAGCAATTGTCCCACTCAAACAACCGATTATTATGCGTCGATGATCTATACTCAAAGTTCTGAAGATTTCTTTATTAAGAATATCTGTAGATGTCCCTTTAGGATATACTATTTCTTTAGGTCGACCTGTATCATTAAGTAAAATCAATTGTAAAATATCAGAGGACTGCTGGTTACTAGCGCATACCATTCTTCCTCTTCTTGTATCAAAATTATGAAGAGAATTTGAATAATTCCTTAACGTATTTAATATATTTAGCGATAATACTATTTGATCAGGAAATTCATTCGTCGATTCTTCTGCACTTTTTGATGAAAGATAATTCTGGACATAACTCCACCCCAATTGTCCTTCGTTAAAGGCAGTTGAAAAAATACAATTTCCATTTAGTATATCAAATGCTTTAATACTTGAATTACTATGAGACAATACTGTATTATTAAATATTCGAATGGCTGTTGCTTCTGCTAGTATTGTCGTTATTTTTTCTCCCGTTTTCCAATTCCAAACGATTAAGCTTCCATCAAATGCACAAGATGCAACATATGATCTAGATAAGCTAATACATCTTACAGCGCTAACATGTCCTTTCAGTTCTCTTATCAAATCTCCAGTTTCCATATTCCAAATGAAGGATGCTCGGAAAAATGTTGAAGCAGCTACAATTTTTTCTTCGATCAGGAAATCCACACAGCTAAAAGAATTTCCACACAATGTACGAATACATTCCCCAGTCTCGATGTTCCAAATTCGTACTGTTCTATCCGCTGATCCAGTTACCAAGATATTTTCTTTTAATTTTGCATCTGTTACACGTTCTGTATGATCTCTAAGAAACTTTATCGTTTGAACTTGTCCATTGTTCCAATTTATTTCTCTTCGATATTGTTTTTGGTATAATTTTTTCCATCCCTCTTTAGGAATATTCAAATTCTGCGCTGCCGTTATACCTTTGTTTACGTATAACAATTCTAGGCATTTTAATCTCCATATTGTGGACTCATTAGTGATGTTCATCCATGTTTTACAAACCTTAATTGAATAAATTATATTATCATATTATAAATAAAAATATATAAATATGGAAGTACCAAATTACCTCACGACAGGTACATAATTCTTTGCCGCTAAGAAATGCAAATATTTTTACTGCAAGTTCAGGTGGTAAAGCTCCAATAATATCAAACCTTCCAAGACCTTTCGATTCTAATACTTGTTGCAAGGTAAAAATTTCGTGCGGATCACATTCTTCAACGAGAGACAATAAGCTACAAGATATAAGGACTGTTTTTCTTTACATAAGACTTTAAAAAAGAACAATAATCCCTTAATAATTTTATTATGCACTTACAAGACTTTACGTTTCTCTCTATCTAGACTTTTAAATCGAGACAATATTCCAGCTACTTCGTTTTGCATATTTTAGATAATTAAGATGAGAATCATGAGATTCTCGGAAAAAAATATTTTTTTCCCTTTACGCTAACAAATAGGAGATATCCGAGAGGAAAATTTCATGTTCCGGATTTTTGTTACACGAACAAATAATGACGTTTTATCATATGAATAAACTGATTGATGATTGATAATTTTTATAATGGGTTTTATGTAAACCAATTTCAAGTTCTAAATAGTAAAGTAAGCATCAAAACCGGATATTTATGTTAAACAATAATAAAAAAATTATTTCAAATAATTTTTATTTCATCAAATCTACTCTAATAAAATAAATAATGAGTTTAATACATAAAAAATATATAAAATTATAAAAATTCTAACAAGCAGACAAAAAAAATGATGAGGATGGAAGTTTTTACAAAAATGTTTTATAATCTATAAATAATTAATAATAAAATCAAAAAAAAGATTTTCTCTTTAAAATCTCTTTTTACAAAGTGAGAATTTATTTAATTGAATTCATCTTTCTTGTGGTGAACCTTAATTTATCAGCAGTTCTATCTAGATCTCCATCCAATTCATTCAACAATTGATTTTGATAATCTAATTCTTGTCCAATAGCCAAACCAATATGTTTATGTCTACTTAATATAGCGCTAAACTGTTCAACATGACTGTCCTGATCTTCCATAGTTTGTTTTTGTAAATTAATTAATCCCTCATTATCCAATCCACGAGTTTGTTCAGTTTCTGCTGGCATAGTAGCTCGACTATTACCAAATACTCTTCTCGATGATGGTGTTACTGAAGCTACTTTAGAAGAAATTCCATTATTATTACCGTTTCCAACAATTCCTTTATTCATTGATGGTCTAACAGGTTGTTTGAATAGAGCTGCTCGATCCATTGAACTTGCTGGCGTAGCAGCTTTACTAATGTCAGTTCTTGTTGCCAATACAAGTTTTGTCAAAGTATCTTTTTCTTCTTTAATTTCTGTTAACATATCTTGTCTTCTTCTCAACTCCCCTGCTGACATAATTTTTCCATCTTTTCCACTTCCTTCCGCAAGTCCTTTAAGACCTGTTTCAAGTTGAGTTACACGCGTTCCAAGTAACGTCAAATTTTTCTTTGCTTGTAAGTTATAATTATGCGACAATTGTACTTCATTATGTGCAATATGAGTTTCTCGTTTATTCAAAAGTGACCTAATTTCTTTGGCTTTAGCTTGCACTTCGTTATATTCGTCAAGCCAAGTTTCTGAAGTATACATTGAAGCTGCGTCAAGTAGTCGACCTGTTGGTATGGCTAAAAAATCTCTCCATTCATCGGTTTCTCTATAACGATCATCTTTATGAAAGAGTATACCTCTCAAATAATCTTCTAACCCTCTACGTCTTTCTTCTACTAATACTGGATTTCCGAGAGTGGACTGAAAATAATGTTTAGCCGGCATTTCGAATGGTGGTGGATTACTTGGAAAAAGTCTTATAAGTTTATCATTTAATTCATCAAACTCACTATACCGCTTCCAAACCGACCAAGTTCTGACTGCTGCATTTACTTCTACTTTATAAACTATATGTGGTTTTGGGTTTAATCTTGTTTCAGTATCTCGAACATATATATTTTGAATGTTTTCAATCATTATGAAGAAAGTCAAAAGGTAAAAGGGGTTTAAACAGTGAAGAACTTAACCGGTTTGAAAACTATTTATAATAAATTCATCAGATCATGCGTATTCTGTGCTTGTTACATTTAACGCACAATCCCCTCCCCTGCAAATCTTCTGGTGCATGCGGGCGCTTTACTTAATTTATGCCAAAAAAGTTAAAAAATGGAAAAAAATGACGTAAATTTAAAAAAGGACAATCAATGGGCCTAAAGTTTACCTCTTTACATTTTATATATATTTATAAAAAAAATATATATAATAACAGTGAATAAAATGTTTAAAAAAAAAATTGGTTACATTTTGGATTTGAAAATTAATCCTAAAAAAAAATAAAGCAAATATAACTAACTAAAATATTTAAATAATAAAATAAATATTTATATATATATAAAAAATGTAAAAAATCTTGTTCAAAACTAATCTACTTTGAGTTATTTTTTTTTTTTCCTTTTATGTTATATAGTGAAGAATGCTTCTATTAAATAAGTTACATAAATAAACGTCTCAATATACAATAATCAAGCACTAGCTAGCAATAACTGCAGCTTCTTTTAAACTTCTTCTTTTTTCATCTTCTTTAACAAAGATCTCTGCAACTTCCGCCAATCCTGGATCATGATTTGCTTCTTCAATAGCGGCATCAATTGCCTTTTTAGTTTTTGCATGTTCTACTGCATCGGCTTCTTGTCGAGTTGGTGGCAACCGTTCATTTTCAATATCTGATCGACGTGCTTCCTCAAACGAAGTGATAGCTATTATATGAAGCAAAGTCTAAAATGAATCGTTTTTATATAAACATACATAATTTCGTTAAATTGTTTATAAAATACCTTTTTTGATTCCTTCAGCTCCCAAAGCCAGAGTGCCATATGGTAATTTTCCAGTACCTGTTACATTCTTTAACTCCATAACACGTTCCGACTCTTCCCTGTTAAATTTGAACAACTGATTAAAAATATTGAAAAAATCAATAAATTAATTTCATGACGAGGTACCTAAGGACAGAGAATACTCTAGCCATTTTGCCAACTGCCAAAATCTTATTTTTGATTACTTGGCGCCTCTCCGAACCATCTGTTGGTGTTTCTGAAAAACAAGTTATTTAAATTATTTATACTATCATAATACGTAAAAATACTTTTCTTTTTGTATTAGTACAATATACAATTACTAATTATTAATTATTAATTATTATATTTATCTAATATTTCTGGTGTACCTGGTGATTTAGTTCCCGATGATAAAAGTTCATCATCTTCTAATTCTTCCTTGCTACAAATATTTAAGATTACAAGAAGCATATCCGTAACTAAATGAAATAAAAAAAAAAATATAAGAAAAAGTTCCTACACGATAAAATTATTTTCTAAATATATTCTATAATATGACATATACATACTTTTTTCGCCAACAAAAGGGAGAGACCAAGTAAACACGTCCATAAAATTTGGTAACCAATAAGGATGAGGTGTACAATTGAATTGACGAATATTCATGACATTATTTTCATACTTCAATACGGCCGCTAAAAAAAAAACATTTAATAAGTCCCAATATAATTGTAAAGAATAAGAATTTTATTTAAACCGACCTTTGTTATTATATACGTCCAAATAATTAGGAGCAGAAAAGATTGTCATTACTGAAGGAAAGCCGGTTGTCTTTGTCTTTCGATACATTCGATAACTATAAATAAATATAGCTAAGCTGCCGGTGTTTTTAATAAACAATATTGATCGAATAATACTTACCCAGCATCTTGAGCTTCATGCGCACGAATAATAGATAACAATCCATTTTTTTCCAAAAAGTTGCAGGCCGCGTGATAACTATATTGAAGTAAATTATTATAATCCTAACAAAGTTAAAATTTGACAAAACAAGATATTACATTCAGTTTACCTGAAAAAATACGAACATCCTCGAACGTGATTATGTACAAAGCATTCATTTGTCTTTTCTTGCCCAAATTCTTCTAAGGGATCAGCCCATAATAAATCGCACATTAAACCATGCGTTGGAGGTTCTCTGAATCGATTAATCTATTTAAAAAAAAAAATTATTAGATAAAAGATAGCGTTCAAAATGAAAAAATTACATACACTGCGCAAATCCTCCAAAGTATTCAATTCAGGTGACAAACCACCATGAATGCACAAGAATTGTTTGTTCATTATTGCAGCGAGTGGAAGTGCGCAGAAAGATTCCATACAAGCATCATATACTTTTTCAGTATATTTATGTTTGCCTATTGAAAATATTATATTAACGCGTTCATTAATAGAAAATGAAAAAAAAATAAGAAATTTGACAAGAGAATTGAAACTTACATTCCAACTTAAATGTGAAATAGTCCGTAAGATGACGACATTCATGATTGCCACGTAATAAAAATAGTGTATTGGGATACCATATTTTTAATGCCCACAAATAAAGAACACACTGCATGAAAGAAAATTGAAATAAATGAGTAAAAATGATTCATGATATAAAATAAATAATACGAAAGAACATACTTCAATGGAGAAATAACCTCTATCAACATAATCACCGAGAAAGAGGTAGCGAGTTTCAGCAGGATTACCGCCCACTTCGAACAATTTCATTAAATCATAATATTGTCCATGGATATCACCACATACTTTTAAATTATAAATAAAGATCAGTATGCTTAACGTTTGTTTAAGTCTTTATTTACTAAACGGAAAAATACCTGTTATAGGAGCATCCACTTCCAATAGATTTGGTTCTTGTTTTAATATTTCAGTACCCTTACTAATAATGTATAAAGCTTGTTCTTCTGAAATTCTTCCTTCGCGAATAAAATGATTCTTTAAAAACGCGATATCTGGTTTTTCTGGGTCTTCCTTTGAAAAGAATTCATCAGATGTAGGTATCTGAACAGCGGGTGCCTGAACGTCTGATTTTATAAACAAAGATATATATATTGATGAGAATTCAAAAAATTTATTATACTTTCTAAGCGTGTTAGTCAAAAAATTCTAAAAGAGGTGTTGTAGTATCAAGTATGAATATAGTCCACCTCACAGTTATGACAAGAAAGCGTGTTAAGCCCCTCAATTAATCGTCTCTACGAGGATCTTGTTATTGATTGAACTCCTAAACCACTTATTAGTTAGATTAAAGAAACTATACACGAACCTTTACAATATCGATCCAAGGTTGAAACCTTGCTACCATCATCCATTTCATGAACTGTAAAATCAATGTCAGGGACAGGCACTTTGGTCTCTTCTAATTTCCTGAGATAAGTATCGATGTCCTTAGGGAGGGAGGGAGTTTCATTATTTGCGTCCGACATTATTTTTCAATCAAAAAATAAAAAAGAAAAAAGGGAACAAAAAAAAGTGAAAAAAACAATCGTGCCTAGAGGAAGTTGAAATACCTATAAGATACACAAAATTAGGTAATGTGAGACAATCTTTGATCTACATAACATTAATTTTATAATTCGTATAAAATTATCGCAAGTATCTAGTTTAAAATGAGCAGTAAACTTTCTAAATCGATGGAGTCTTCGAGTGACGCTGTAGATGCAGCTATTGCTCGGGTAGCAGAACTTTTGAGGTCTCCGGACGATTTAGTCAAAACAAGCCTTTTACGTAAGAGATTGGTGATAGAAAAAGCAACGATTGACGCTCAGCTTAAAACTGGCGTAAAAGCACAGTTAGATACTACACAAGATGGAATTGACACGTTAACTTCTTCCAGAAAACAAATGGCCATAATCAAGGATAACATGCAAGCCATAGATCGTTTATGTTCGGAAGCACAAAATATGATCCAACACTTTCCAAGGATCAATAAGGTGAAAAGATAAAATAACTCGGGGTATCTTATGACAAAGACATTTATATCAATAATTTTTTTTTAATAAAAATTTTATATAACACAGTTTTTTAAATTTTGATCAGATTTCTCAAATTCACCGTAATTTTGTCGCGACCCGAGATACTGTTCAACGATTGAAAGAAATGTATTTGACAGTCGATCAAATTCAAAATATGATAGACAATGAAAAACAGAATATTCTTGGGCCCGCAGAAAGCTTATTATTTATCCATTATCAACTTTTCCGTTTACAGGAATTTCGAGATATTACAATGTATCAAGCAAATATTTCATCACAAGATGATGTGGTTCTTACACTAAAAAAATATTTTAAAAGATTAGATGAAGTGTCAGAAGATTTTGAGAATTACTTTTGGACACTATCGAAAAATATTATGAATTTAGTTAGAAATGGTCAGGGTTCTGTGATCGTTCGTATCGTTAAGGTGATTGAAGCTGAAGAAATAGCTGATGAAAGGGCTACAACAGCTGAGCATGCTAGACATAGTCATCAAAATCTTGCAACAAAATTTAAATCTGTTCAAACAAGTCCTCGTGTGATCAGATCCTTCCGTAGTCAATTTCAAGATAAACTTCACGATTCCATTTCAGAATTATTTGAAGATTTTTATGGTAAATATAAAAATGCCCCAGTAGAATTATTGGGTCAATTAGATTTCATATTTGATGACTTAGCGGTAGTATTTCAAGAGATCGTACCACGTTTCCCTAAAAAATATAATATCTTTTCGGTTTTTGTTTTGGAGTATCATCATCACGTTTATAATATACTTGATAGGATTGTAAAGAATGATCCAGATGCAGGAACGATATTAAGACTAATTCGATGGATTCGGACGTATTATAAAAGAATGAATAAAGAAATTCGTATTTCTGAAGATATTCTTGAACCTCCTTTGCTTGATGGACGAGAACAAGATTTGATTAATGATTATCTTAAGTTAGTTCGTGATTTAGTTGATAAATGGATGATGAATTTGATGGATGGTGAAACTAAGGATTTTATAGAAAGAAGCAAAGCGCCAGAAGAGGCAGGCGATCTGTATTATCTTTCTGGATCAGTATATATGTTTAAAATTGTTAATCAACAAATCGATGTTGCTGCAGAATCAGGTCAAGGAAAAATTTTAGCAGATGTTGTCAAAGAATGCTGTGAAGTTATGTTGGAAACGCAACAAACTTGGATGAATTTATTAAAATCTGAACTGAAGAGACAAATTGAAAAGCCTGATGAAGTACCGCCAGGATTTGTTGATTATGTCATTGCTTTGGCAAATGATCAAATTCGATGTGCAGATTTTACGGATGAAGTTCTGAATCGACTGGGGCCTTTATTATCTGAGAAGTATAGAAATCAAATTAACAATGATCTTGAAGAAGCGATGAAAGGATTTTTATCAGTCGCAAGAGCAGCAAAAGATACACTATTAGATATTGTTTTCAATGATCTTAAGAAGCCGTTCAGTCAATTTTATACATCAGATTGGTATCAAGAAAATCCAATGCTGTTAATTATTGAGACCGTAAAAGACTATACCTTTGACTTTTGTACTCATTTAAATGAATATTTAAGAGATAAAATTATGACCAATACTTTAGAACGTTTCATTATAGCATATATTGAAGCAATGCGCAATAAAGGAGCCAAATTTAAGAAACCAGAATGTGTAACACGCATAGTAAATGATAGAACGACGGCGTATGCATTTTTTCAACAACATATTCCATCAAAAGAGTTAAATAATTCTTTTGATCTATTAGCGAGAATTCATACTCTAGTAGAAAGTCCACGTAAATCAATATTTTTGGATTATTATAATCTTAAAAAAGCGTTTGGAGATGTACCTATTGGACTCATTGAAGATATATTGTCTAGAAGGGATGATTTGGACAGATCTCAAATTAAGGAAATAATGGAAAATATTAAAGCAAAAGTTAAAGATACAGGAGAATATACTGGAACTCCTACAATCTTAAGTAAACTTAATTTTTAGAAAAATTTTAGTACTAAAATTTATCTAAATGAATTAGAAATTCTTCTTTTTAATCTTTTTTGAGCTTAAAATCTTAGTAATAATTTTATGTCTGTTTACTGTAGTTCTATTGTGGAACTTTATTATAAAAATTTTGTTGTTTTAGAGTAATCGCAGTAAGATAAGGTGCACTTATTGGAGGCTGTAATGGATCTAAACTCTTTTTCTTTATAGTAGAAGAAAAAAATTTATTTAATTTTAGTTATATTTAATAAAAACATTTGAACCTATTTATTAATTAATACATGCCTCAAGCGGATAAGTCATATCCGAATCAAATCCACTAATTGAAATAATTAGGTGAATCTGCTGAATCATATAAATTCTTATGAATTAAAAGTGATGTTACCTTAGATCACCACAAGCGATAAATGGAACTATCACACGATTTGGACCCAAAAGTTCATTTTGTTTTCCTATTATGTTAAAACGTATTAATAAAAATTATATCAAATTGTAATATAAATAAAACATAAAACCATAAGATAAATCGAGTAAAGGATTAATCATTGTTGGAACATAATCCTTTGGAGGCGTATAATTTTGACACACGACAAATGCTTCTAGAAATTAAATTAATTTTATATTTTAACTAATAATCAATTTCCAGATAATGAATTTAAAAAGTGAAAAATATGATACCTACCTATACTTGAATTTCTTGAACTTCTAGGTTTACTACAAGTAACAATTGGAAAAAAAATTTTAAGTTGAGAATATAATAAAGTAATATCTTTACCACGAAATATTTTTGCTATAAAAGTTCCTCCCGGATGTAAAATATTTGTCGTAATATTTAATGCTGATAATAATAATTGTGCTTGAATATATTCATCCATATCATGTAGTCCAGTTACTATATTATTTATATAAGAATTAATATTTGAAAATTATTTATAACATGAAAATGTATAAATTACAAATAGATACCGTCTGGTGCACCATCACATACTATAAGATCTGCCAATTCACCTTCAAAATATGAAATAATTTGTTCTGCTGTTGATAGTTTTGTAATATCACCTTGAATTTGAATAACTCCTTCAAGAGGTGCCTTAACAAGAAAGTTTATGTTATGTCACGGTTTATATCACAAAAATTTGTGTCTGTAAAAATCTACCATCGCTTGCAAGTCTACAGCAACAATTTTTGGAGGTGGTGCATCTTTAGGACGATTTTCACTATAAATCATTACAATTTTACCATAGATCAAAATAATATGATAATCAACTAATTATACTAATATACTTTAATTTTTTTGTTAATACTTGGGACCAACTACCAGGAGCAGCACATAAATCAACTGCCCGTTGAATTCCTATTTATAAAAATTTTTTAAAATTTTAAAATTTTCCTTTTCTCTTACTGCCTCACTAATACGCTTTTAAATTTTAAATTAAATTTCTACCTTTAAAAATGTTAAATTCTTCATCAATTTGAAGTAATTTGAATGCGCTTCTAGCTCTCCAACCTTGTTCCTTAGCTAATCTATAATAAATATCACGTTTATCTTTTGATGATTTTCCCATGAAGAAAAGAAGATTCGATTAAGTCGTATATAGGCAAAATTATCATTTATATTGGACTATCATGTCGATCATTAATAATAGTCAAAATCTTTTCTACCTAATTTAACTTTTCAGTATGTCTCACCATGCTCCAATTATTCATCGTTCGCGTAAAGCTCCTCAAGAAGAAGAGGATGCCGCAAAATTAAAATTTGGCGAAGGTTTGTTAGATCTTTCTTTGTAATGCAATTAAAATTTTATTATATTAAGTTTTTAATTATTCGACAGATTTTGAGGATGAAGAGTTTCTATTTATTTCTGAAGTAGCACTTTTGTTAGAAAAAATACCAGATTCTCAAAAGAATAATACGTTAGTTATAAATTTATGATTCATGTTTGATTTACAATATATTATATAATATACATTATCTTCCTTTAATTAAAATTATCAGCGTGTACAAAAAAACCGAGGAATTAGTAAATACGTTTACAAGATTTCATAATGATGAATCAGTTCGTGAACTTCGAAAGTAAGTAAAATAACGTACAAATTTTTTATTAACTAGTTTTTTAAAAATTTTTAAAAGTTTTAGAATCACTAAATAAAATTTCACATTATTTATATTTCAATGAATTTTAATTAAAGGTAAAAAGATTTTGATCCATTTTTTTATTTAAAGTACGATATCAATTATTTACGTAATTATTGTTCGAACTACAGAACTTTAATGAGACACAAGCTACATAAGTATGAATTAGCACAGTTGGCAAATCTAGTTTGTGAAGAAATAGATGAGGCAAAATCACTAATACCAAGGTAACATAAAATGATTTAAAGATAATATTTTATACGATCACGATATTTATATGCAGATTTTATAAATCCACAGTTTAGCCAAAAGAAGTGATGAGGAAATTCGTGCCATGCTTGATGACATTTCAGCATTGAAAAAATATCAAAGTTAAAAGATGACTTAAGGTAATTTTCTCGGTGGACACTGTAACTTGATTCTTCTAGTCAATATTAATTACTTTAACCCTCATCTATTCTAGAGAGTAAATCATCTTAATAAATACGATATTTTGAAGTTTTCTATTTTTTACATATATTTAATATATAAAGTTCGATACTGCGTGTCTTGCGCCAAGACAATAACTAAAAATCATGGCACCTTCCCGTAATAGTTATCATATACCCTTAACGTAGATGTTTAAAACCTAGAATTTTTTTATACGAAATAAAAATTTCCTTTAACGGGATACGTATAGAATTACGTGATTATTTTAAACTACAAAAAAAAACGATTTTCATCGTACAAGTCACGTGTATAAAATTTTCATATATACTATAAATACTATTGACAAAGCAAATTCTTTCTTTCTCTTTCTTACGTATTTGGACTGTAATAATTTTCTAATAGGTGAGGAATAAAATTATACAACTCAATTAATATTCTGAATTGACCACTACTAACCCATGCATATAAGTAAAAATAAATATTTTACTTATAAAATTCGCTTTTAATTATTTTATAATGTGAATCATTTTTCATTATCAAAAAAAAAAAAAAAAAANCACGGAAAAGGTTCATTTTACTTCATAAATTTTCAAATTTTCACAAAGAAATGTCATTGAAGGCTAAATTCTCAGATTACAAAAAAAAAAAAAAAAGTGAATCACAAAGCAAAATGATCTTATAACATAATTAGGCAGGTATGAAACTTTTAAATTTTAATAATCATTCATTAGGTAATTCTAACAATTGTGCTTATTTTTATACCAGTCGTAAATATATTATGGATCAAACTTTACCATTTAAATATGTATCATCAGATGAAGAAAGTAGAAGTTTAGAAACAGGTATAGTAAATTGTAATATATATAAATATGTATTTTTAATTTGATATAATATTAATCATGATATTTTAAAAATTGTAGTTGATGTTTATGTTAGTGATGTGAAACCAGAAGAAACTGGACCAATTATAAAGTAAATTATAAAAGATTTATATAATATAATAAATTATAATTAACTTAATATTAATTTATAAATATATAAATTTTTTAAAGATTTATAAAAAAATATTGTCCTCGAGAAGGAATTTTGGATCATGTTAAAAGAATTAAGAAAACTTCTCATGATAAAGGTAAATAAAATTTTAAAAAATATATACATACAATATTATAATTATTTATCTTTGTTAATAAATTTTTAAATTTTTTTTGATTATAGGATTTACATTAACAGTATTAATATGTTCAGTTGAATCAATTACTTTTACAGATTTAATAGCATTAATAAAAAATCATAATCTTAATTCAATACTTAAACCTCGTATTCAACAAGTTTGTAAATATCCTGCTATTACACGTACTCAATTTGACGAATGGAGAAAATTATGGCCAATCAATTTTATTGAAGATCCGAAAAGGTAAAGTTTAAATATTTTGCAGCAGTAAATATAATAATTTTATTATGTAAAATCAACATTAATATTTACTTAAGATAATTAATTCATTTATTTTAATTGAGTATAGAGAATTAAAATTCACTTTAAAAGAAATAGAAAATATAGAACAATATATGGAAAGAGCTATTAAATTATCTATTCAAGCAAAATTAAAGGGAGAAATACCGATTGGATGTATAATGATTGATCCAAAAAATAATGTTATATTATCAGAATCTTTTGATACTCGCAATTCAACAAAACATCCACTTAGTCATGCTATACTTAACTGTATAAATAATGTAGCTTCTTTGGAAAAATCAAATTATTTAGAAAAATCAAACAAAATTGAAATTATTCAAAAACAAAAAAAACAACCAGTTGATGTAGTAATAAATATTAATAGTGAAAGTTTTTCTTATCAACAAAATAATAATGAAAGTAAAACTACATACCTATGTAAAGGTTTTGATATATTTATTACTCATGAACCATGTATAATGTAAGTTACTTATCATATATTTTTAAGATTATTTCTAAAAATTAATTTAATTAATATTTTTTTTTATTAGGTGTTCAATGGCACTTGTACATTCAAGAATTGGTCGAGTATTTTATGGTCATTCAAATAAAGTGTCAGGTGGATTAGGTTCTTGTTATAAAATTCACACTCATAATTCACTCAATCACCATTTCAAAGTATTTAAAGGATTGCTACAACATAAAATTGATGACTTGTCAATTGATTGTTAATTTAAAATAAAATGTAATAAATTAATGTGATATATTTGTAAATGCAAAAATTTATTAAAATTGACGTACAAGTTATTGTAAAAACCACTGGATTTTAAACAAGATATCAAACTATTATAATTAAATTGTGATTTGACATAAATTTCTTGTTATGCACAATATGCAATATGTTCAGTCAATGATTTTAAACTTATTAAATTTCATAATTAATTTTATCTTGCTTTCTCACGGCCGCTTATGAAATTTAAATACCAATATTAACCTTTTGGTAACTTTGCCATACATATTTAGAAATTAATTGATGTATGGATACTTCAATATTGTATAAAATTTGTTGAAAAATGTCACTTTATTTACTATCAGCATCGGCAGATTTCATGGGAATACGTACAACAACAGGTATTTGATGTTCTGATACACCAGGTTTTGGCGTTTCTTCCGTTTCTTTTTTTTCTTCTATGAAATTGAAAGAATTTTTAATATAAATATTACACGTAAAAAATTGAAACAATGAATTTCATATATACCTTGCAATAATACAGTCCTAAAAACGGTTTGCCAATTACGTAGTACTGTAGCAACAGCTATAAAAAATAATAATTGATTAAAAGATCAAATAAATATTCTCTCAATAATTCTACAATTTACCCTCACAACCCTTATTTAATTCTTCAATATTATCAGACAATTGATCAAAGTAGTCTGATAAATCTTGTGAAGATTTTTTAAGAATTAACAAATTATCATATTCTTGTTGTTTTTCTTGAACTTTTTGTGTAAGTAAAACTTGTTTTGCTGAAGGTACATTAACAGGTATTTGTCGCTGTTGTCGTTGGTGAATAAATGGTGGTGGTTGTTGTTGTGAAACGTAAAATGGGTTTTGGTTGTTGGTCATTTTCTTTTATGGTTGATTTAGACGCGTTTTACACGAGATGGAAGTACAAAATAATGTAATTAATAAATGATGAGGATAAATGACGCGTTAATTTTTATTTAAAAATTATCTTTACAAAAGAGAATGAAAAGCAAAAATTTTTTATGCATATTTAGAATTCGAACAAGTTTCTTAATGATAATGATCAGCCGCACGTATTGTAGATCATGTAGATTGTAGATCATCTTTTTATCCATCTTTTGTAGTTTCGATTTTTTCGTCATTTTTGTTATTTTTAAATTATGTTTTCGCGTAGAGTAGCAGTAACAGGTTTAGGCTTAGTAACACCATTGGCGACAGGAGTGAGAGCTTCCTGGAAAAAATTGATAAATAGTGAAAGTGGAATAATATCTTTAAAATCAAGTCAACCACCAAATAATGAACCTTATAAAAATAATTCAACATATTTACCATATTATGAAAGAGAGAAAGGAGTATTTAATGAGTTACCTTCAACTATAGCTGGTGTAATTAAACCTGGTAAATACGAGGACGGTGGGTTTGATACGAATGAATGGTTGGATCGTGGGGTAATTATCAGAAAACCCCAATTTTTAATAAATAATAAATAAAAAAAAATAAATTCGAAAATATTATATTTTCCAAAGAACAATATTTTTTTTTTTTATTTTATATATATAATGAAAATTTAATTAAAGGAATTCATTCATTCATTTACTCTTATTATTGATTTATTTTATTGATTTACTATTTTTTTTACTATTTGAAATATTCTCATTTTTTATCTGTTAGGACGAAAGTAGAATGGCATTATTTTCGCATTATGCCATTTGCGCAGCAAAACAAGCATTGAATGATGCAGAATGGAAACCTACAGCCGATTCTGAAAAAGATAGAACTGTAATGTGTAATCAAAAAAGTTATATTATATTCGACTGCAAAAAAAATAATTATTTACTTAAAATTATTATTTACTAAATAGGGAGTTTGTATCGGATCAGGAATTGGAAGTCTTGAAGATGTTGTATCAAATACTATGAAGTATAATGCTCACGTAATTTACACACACATTTTTTTTTTAAACGGGTTTAATTCCTTTTAATTATTGATGATGTTATTGTTCTATAAAAAAGGGATCAAGAAAAGTTAGTCCAATGTTTGTACCAAGGATATTAATAAACATGGCAGCAGGACATTTAACCATGAAATATGGATTTCGTGTGAGTCTTTTAAATCAAATTCATTTTTAAGTCGAATATCCTTAATATTTTTAATATGAAAAAAAATTCATTTCGAAGGGGCCAAACCACGCAGTGTCAACAGCTTGTACAACAGGAGCTCATTCAATAGGAGATGCAAGTAGATTTATACAATTCGGGGATGCTGATGTCATGGTTGCAGGAGGATCAGAAGCATGTGTTTTACCATTAGCTATGTCAGGATTTGCAAAGTGCGTAATGAAAAGTGATTCAATGAAGATCAATTTTTATGTATTCATTTTAATATGATATATTAGAGCAAAATCTTTGGCGACAAAGTTTAATGACCAACCCGAAAAAGCATCAAGACCATTTGATAAAGATCGCGATGGATTTGTTGTAGGCGAAGGGGCTGGAATGGTAGTACTTGAAGAATATAATCATGCAATTAATCGAGGAGCAAAAATTTATGCGGAACTAAGTGGATATGGTTTATCCGGTACAATTATTTATAATAGTTTTTAACGATATATCGATATTATTGCGAATGACGTTTTTCTCTTTCATTAATATATAACTAATTTTTTATACAAGGGGATGCTCATCATATAACAGCTCCTCCCGAGAATGGTATTGGAGCTGAATTAGCAATGCGTAGAGCATTATCACAAGCTAAATTATCACCAAAAAATATTGATTATATTAATGCACATGCAACTTCAACTCAACTAGGTAATTAATTGATTTTTATCAGAAATTAATATTGCTTGTGTAATTAATTCATTCGAAATAATTTAGGTGATATCGCCGAAAATCGAGCAATTAAATCAATATTTCAACAAAGTGATATTGATAATAATAAGAAACTTGCGATATCTTCAACTAAAGGATCAATAGGACATTTATTAGGAGCGGCAGGAGCAGTTGAAGCGATCTTTACAATTTTAGCAATTTATAATGTAAGTAATTTTCTTTTTTAATTTATCGAATTTATCGGATTATCAATAATGAAAATTCAAAAGTAAATTTATAATTAAGTTGTGAAACAATATGACAATGTGACAATGTGAGGTTAAATATATTGTTTAATAATGAAATTTTCTCATTATGATGATATTTGAGTTTGATTCACGAAATTTTGTGGGGTTAAACACGTTAAACATGATAGTGGACTTTTTACTTTATTAAGGAAGGATTTTCTTGTGCTAGGGGTATGATCATATTATATAATTCTGTTTTGTAATAGTTGTGATATTTTGTGGTTATTAAAATTATTAAGATCAACCCCAGTATATTCTTTTCTTCTTCAAATCCGATTCGGCAAATTCCTTTATCTAGATAAGAGAAACTTTATTATTTTTTAAAGAATTCGCTTTTTTTTCCAAAAAAAAAAAAAAAAATTTAGAATTTTTAATTAGAACGTTCTTTTCTTTTATTTATTATTTATTTACTTGGGAAAAAAAAAATTATTTACATGGGAAATTTTGGTAAAAAAAACTTTAAAAAAAATTCATGATTACGGAAAAATTCCTCTTTCAGAGAAAAAGAAAAAAAAAGATAATGTGAAAAATTTTTAGATAAGCAATTAAGAAAAATTATCAAAGTTATTAACCTCATTTTTTTCATTTTTATTTTTCTCATACCCCAAAAAAATTTCACATATAAACCACATTTCCTAACCTAACTAATTTTTTTACCTATCAACGATCTACCTAACCTAACCCAATTCAAATTCCAATCAATCCATTAATCTGTTATCAATCACGCACATCACATCTTTTTTTTAGGATATTCTTCCACCAACATTAAATTTACATTCATTAGATGATTTAAAAGATTCATATAATTTTAATTATGTACCATTGAAAGCTCAAAAAGTTGGTGGGAATGGTATCAAAGCTGCGTTAACTAATTCTTTTGGATTTGGTGGAACTAATGCTTGTTTATGTTTTGTTAAAATTTGAATAATTTGAATAATTAGAATTATTTGTATTATTAGAATTATTTACTATTCATTCACAATAACTCAAAAACCATTCAAACTAATTCAAATAATTCAATAATTCAAAAGTAACTCAAATAATTCAAAGTAACACAAAAAAAAAGTACTTTTGAATAATAAAAAAAAGGAAAAAAAAAAAAAAAAATCC